GGCACCACGAGGAGGTTTTCCCAGGGCCCCTCGTTCCCATTTCACAGGCAAGGAAAACTGAAGCAGCGGGAGCTGCAGCAGCATGTCCAGACCCGCAGCAGGATCCGGACGTGCGTTATCGTGCAGGGGGGCTGCGTGCCCGCTGCAGGCTGGTGCGGGGCATGGCCCCATCGGCTCACCCCATCATTACCTTCCCTCCCTCCCTCTCTCCTTCCCTCCCTCCCTCCCATTTCATAAGTCGCCACGTGACGGTGGCAATAGCAAACGCCCCTGCGCTTCAGGTGTCTGCCCCAACCACAATACACAGGTGCCTGGCCTCGGCCGCCACGGCTCCAGGCCTGGCCCCCACCCCAAATAACACCTTGGACAAACAGCTGAGAAGGTCAGGGCATGGCCTGGCTGCTCGGCAAATTCCCCGTGGATGGAAACTCCCAAAATTAAGGGTGGTTGTTTATATCCCATCCACCAACGGCGTTTAAGGTGATGCAAACACTGCTGCTGTCCCACCAGCCCCTTGCCACAGACATCAAGGATTTAATGAGACAGGGAAGCTCCTAGAGATGGGACGTATTTTGGAAAGCATCCGTCCAGTTCAGTGATGGATGGAGAGATTCCAACCTCACGAAGAGCCTCGGGATGGCTCTTGTCACACAAATCCCAGCAGCACCCCTGGTTAGGGCTTTGCTGCCCCTTCTCCCCTCTTGCCCTCCATTTTCCACTCCCACAGACAGAAGAAGAGGTACTAACACATTTTCCCCACACTAACAACCCAAAACTGCCTATTTATGCCCTTTCTGGCTGCTGCGTGCCTGCATCCAGTCTCACCACCAAGCTCACCTGCCACCAGCCTCGTGCTCTCTGTGTGTTTGATGGCAGCTGAGCTGTTACTTGCTTTTTAATACATTAATTATAGCTGATTACCGCTGCCACCCCCACCTCCTCAGTACCATGACCTGCTCACTCACCGCCAGGAAAAGGCTCCTTCCTTCGGCACAATGCCAGGGCCACCGGGACTCACCTCCCAGCCCACTTGGTGGTGGCAAGATGGGGATTAAATGGCGATTAAAAGGAGATGCTGTTTCTGATATCATGATAAACAGCCACTGAATGTTATGGCAAATGGATGCAAGTTCCTTTTATTGATGGAGCTGGAGGATTCTGCTTTGCAGGAGAAGGATTTTAGATGTGGGATGACTGCTGGAGGGTTACACTGTCCAAAATGCCCTGGCTGAAACATCCCCCTACTCTGAGCTGCACCCCAACGTTGCAGTCACCTCAGACAGGACAAAGCTCCTTGTAATACCTGGGTGCCATTTATAGGAGTCTGGGAAAACCCACTGCTTTCAAAGGGTTGTTCCTGTCAGAAAAGCCAGTGTGGTGCCAGCCACATGCCCACGGTGCAGAGGTAGCTGGGTGCTCAAGGTCCCTGGGGATGGCAATGTCCCCCTGTGTCACCCGGCTCTGAGGAGGAGCTGCTCACCCCACAGCCATCTGCAGCCTCTTCCCATGACAGGGTGACCCTGTAACACCCAAACAAGGCCAAATCCAGCCCCTTCTCCCCGTGGGACAGTCATGCTCATCCTCTCTGGTGGGGAAGTGCTGGGGCACTGCCACAGTGACCATCACCTGCCCTGTCATCAGGGTCCCAGCCCCTATACCCATTTCTCTCCTGACTTCACCACCGACCTTGGCAAGCCCTCATCCCTCGCCTGCTTTGGGGACCCTCTTCTTCCCATTTCCTTGGGGGAAACGATCCCCAAGAAGTGTGGGCTGTGAGGCCACAGAGGCCCCAGCACCAGTGGGTGCATGGGGGGCACATCAGCCTGGCAAACCCCAGTTCTCCACTCAGCATCATGAGCGCTCCAACACTGGGGGGAGGTTGGCAGCCTGGCTGGCAGGGCCCCCCAGAGTGGCCGGGCACTGCCAATGCCCTGACTCACAACACGCACGTACCCGCGCGGGGTAAAGCGATAGGAGGGGAGAGAGGATGCCGGAGCCCAAAATACCCCGGCGTGCCTGACACAGGAGATTATCGCTTCACTGATGGGACCATCGCCCAGCCTGGCTTGTCCCAGCTCCCTGCAAAGCACCAAAACCCCCCAAAACCTCTGCCTTCACCTTTCCCCCTGTCACCCTTGCCAACCACCCAAGAGTAGTGAGAGGCTGTAGGGTGCCCGCCACACCAACAGGGCCACTGGTATAATTTCCAGCTGGTTTCTCCCCAAATTGGGTTTTTCCTCAGTCAGTTAAAGCCAAATGCATTGTGTAGGGCCTGAATGGTTTCGGGGGGTTGGAGGTGGGTGGCTTTGCGAGGGCTTGGCTGTATTTTCCTTCCAAGGGGGTTAAGGGGAACAAAACAACACCAAACCCAAGGAGGGTGTAAAAATAAAATAATAATAATAATAATAAAGATGACACACTGCTGAAAATTATCCATCTAATTGCCGCCTTGTTAGCAAAGCACCCCTATGACGAGGCACAAAGTGTTTAGCATACACTCAGTGCACGGTCATCTCCTACATGCGTGTGACACACATGTAGCGTGACACGCGGGTGACCCCGCACCTCACCCGGGACCCTCCCGAGCCACTTCCCCGGGGGACTCCGGCCGGGGCGGGCAATACCAGTCCGTAACGTCCGGCGCCCGCCCCAAACGCTCCCGACGTGCGGGCACAAGGCCCCTTTGTCACCCCGGCGATGCGTCGCGGGGGAACTCGGGGGGTCCGCTGCGGGGGCAGCGCAGCCCCGACGGGGCGGGAGCCCGGGGACCCGACGCGGGGGAGTGAAAACCGCCCGGTTGTGCCCACCCCCCACGCACACACCCCATCGCGGGGCGTCGGGGGGATCCCCGGGGGGAGGCACCGAGCTGCCGGCTGGGGGACGACCGGGGCGGGTGCGACCCCGCCGCCCCCCGCCATCCGCCGGGGCTCGGTGCAGGCGGAGGGCAGCGGGCCGGGAGGAAGGAGGGGCTGGAGGAGGAGGAGGCGGAGGAAGGGGGGTTGGGAGTCTCTTCCCGGCGAGCGCTTACCTGCTCCGTGCTCCGGAGGGGCTGGGCCGGCCGCGGGTGCCGGGAGCGGGGCCGGGGCCGGGGCCGGGGCCGGGCCGGGCCGGGCCGGGGCGGGCAGCA